AAAATTGGCTAATTATAGAGATGTGACTATAAAACTTAATAAACTCATTGAGTGATTATAAAATGTGGCTATAAAAAGATGTGATTATATAGAATTGACTGTAATAGTATTCAAAAATTGATTATTATTGTTATTATTGAATATTGTTAACATTAATCTTTCAAATAATAATATAAAAGCATCAATATCTTAATTAATTTAAATTCAAAAGCTGTAATCTTTAAAACTTATAATATTTATTTTATGACGAGAAAAAAGATATTAATAGGTTTTTGCATGTTATAGTATTTTGTTTGTCTATGCGTCATCACGTAGTGATACACATGTCTCGCTTCTTGACAATGCGTGATTAAATTGCCATGTTTTCATTCGCCCACTTTTACAAGAAAAAACGTGTTGACATTATTAATATTATAGTAATTTGGTCTCAAAATAATGTATTGCTAACTAAAAAAAAATTAACATACCAATTTGAATGTGCGATCAGAGCCACAAGAAACTATTAATTTATTGTCTAGGAAATAACATAAGAAAAAAGTAATTATATAGAAAACCAATAATGAATAGGGAAATAAAACTTTAAGCAAACAAACCTGAAGACACATCAACATCCATGATCTTACCATCATGCCCAGCCAATGTTTTGAGTAAATTCCAATCATCCGACGACCAAATATTAACCACACCATCGAATCCACTACTTGCCATATAAAGTCCCGAAATCGTGGGTTTAGTAACTTCACCGTTCTCGTTTAACAGTTCCTCCTTCACTAGTTGTGGGGAGCCATGAAAAAATCGTACATTGGATACAAGTGATTTATGTGCTGGAATGGTGTAAACTGAACGCAGAACACGCATATCCCAAATTCGTATTGTGTTATCTGCGCTTCCAGTCGCTACTTGATATCTAATAAAGTAAAATATAATGCAATTTTTATATGTTTTGAGATTTTTGTTTGCCGAGTCGCATAAACTTACCCATTAGGGGAAAAGTCAGTCGCAAATATTTCTTCCACGTGGCCTTCTAATACCATAGCTGATCTGCCAGTTCGTAAATCCCAAACGCGGCCAATAGCATCTCTACCCCTAAGACACAAAAATAATTTATTTATTATAAGAAAATCCAACTTCAGACAATATCTAAAATATATATTATTACCCTGTTGCAACAAGAGCGCCATCATTTTGAAATCGAATTGCGCATACTTCACGAGCATGACCTTCTTGAAGTAACAATTCTACACTAGTTTCAACATCCCATAGACGCCACGTTGTATCATAGCTATGACAACATAAATTTTGTCTCAATGTTTGAATATATGCAAAAAAAGAAGAAATGAATTAATAGGAAATAGTTCACCTAGCACTTCCAAGAAATCTGCCAGAAGGATGAAAGTCAATTTTTGAGACCCTTGCAACATGCCCTTTTAACGTTTTGATTGGTGTCTCGCTTAAAAGAGACCACAAATGAATTAAACAGTCAGCTGACCCCGAGGCTAAGTTAAGACTTTCCTTTCCTATTGAAATAGTAGCTTGAGGATGCCACGCAATTCCACCAATACGGTCGGTATGACCTTAATATATGAAAAGAAATTCAATTTTGGGATCTCTTATTTTTAATAAGATACAAAAACTATTGAAAAGGAAAAAAGATTATGAAACCTTTTAATGTTCCAATGGCATCACAGCTTGGAACTTGCCATATTTTACATAGACCAGACCAAGATCCAGTGGCTAATAATTGACAATCAGGAGAAAATATACATTGTGACATTGGTCTATCATCGCCAATTTGCGAGCTAATATTCGTGTAAGACTATAGAAAACATTATCTATTATTACCATTAAAATATTGAGTATATAATTTTGAATTGTATACACGCACCTTCAGTTCTGCATATAAATCTTTTCTGATTGATTTTAGTTTTGGCAATGGTAGGTCGTATTCAATTCGTTGCCGTTTGAGACGATCCCTTGCTCTAAGTGGATAGTTTAATTAGAATATTAATTTCAAAGTCACAAAAAACTGAGAATAGCGATAATGAAATATATAAAACCTTGGAAGAGAATAACGTGCCACCCAACGTCTTGCATCCAATAGAGCCGGTGAGCCGAGAGTATAAAATTCTTCCTCTTTCTTGAGGAAAAAAATTATGCTGATTATCAAAATGCGTCAATAATAAATCGATAACCACCATAAGTCTAGATTTATCACTAGATAAATAGATACCTCTTCTTCAGATTCAGATTCAGACGTTTCATCTTCGTCTGGCATTACTTCTGTGCCTTCAAGTTTGGACAATAAATATCGTAATCGATCACGTCGATCTCCTGGCTAATAAAAGGTGCGTTAACTTAAAAATACTATTAACTAAATTATTTATTTACATACTCCTTCTCCAAACAAACATTGTGGTTCATTCAATTCTCGAAGTTTGGCTCTAACGCGGCCATCATCAGTTGGAACAGCAAGAGTTCGAGCACGTTTTTTCCGCTCAAACTCATCTAATATGGCTTGATGATCCTCGCGGGCTCTTTTCGAGGATTCATTATGTTCAAATGTAGTATCTTCAGCTAAAATCATGATTTTCAAATTAATGGTATTTATGTGAATAGACTTTAAATGCCAAAAGTATTACCCAAATCTTCTAAAGATATCCCACTATTAGTTTCTTGTGCCTATGAATAAGCATAGAAAATTAAAAGAAATACACACAAACATCGTTCCAACATAACAGAATATTATTACTTTAATTTCAGAAGTGGCTTTCTTTCGAGCTTGTTTTTCAGTTTCTTCAATGCTTCCAAAATGAACCCTTTGTTTCTGCAAATTTGATGAAACTTCGTTTCCACGTTTATTTGTTTTATTATCATCCATCGCTAATAGAAATTATAACCTGCTATTATTCGAAAATTTCCTCGGGTAGTATATGAAAGACCTTTTTCTTTTTTGCACCGGATTTGTTTTGCCGGTTCTATCAAAAATTCGTGATGATTTATTTTCTTAATTCGCTATTCAAAAATTTATGAAGTACCATGCTAAACAAAAAATTCACCGTAAACTTTTCAACTCAAACTTATAATAAAGAACAAATTTTAGATGATGGTCCATTAATTTGGTAATGCTGTAATTTAATTATTTGTTTCTGATTTTGGAGATTATTAACATATTAGGTTGATTTTGCTGATAATAGAGATAAATCACCAGAACTATTAGAACTATAATTATTACTTTATTAAGTTATTTGTAAAGTGAATTTTTTGCGGAAATTACGACAGAAGAGACAGCTCGAGACAGAGCTAGGTCGCTAGAGATACCAGAAGATAGACGCTGCCTTATAATCGCTATACTTGTGTGTCGGTACTACTTATACTTGCATTGTTCTTATACGTGAGTTATGCAAAAATAATATTTCAACAAATAATTAGAAATTGATTCATAATGCAAAATGTCAACATTTTTCTTTGCGTTCCAATTTTAGAGATGCAAGTATCCAAGTCAGGGACGATGAATTTCTGCGGTGCTCTAAGATAAATTCTGTATATGATGAAAATATAATTCTGTGATCCGCTTTGATCTCATCATTTATATCGATACTAACAGCTTTTTATACATAAATAATTTGTACGTATTTTAAATTCTGTGTAATTCTGCGGCGGCATATCATAATTTCTGTATTATCGCAGAATTCTGTGCTTATTGTGCAATACAGAAAATCATCGTCCCTGATCCAAGCAAGTGAATTAAATGAATTTTCATATTTTTCTTGTTATTTGTGTTGTTCAATGCTTTTTTATGATGACTTACTGACTGCCTTGGATCTTTCTTTTACAGCAACCTTGTGAGGATTTCTGAATTGTATAGGTTTTCCTTATCCATTATAATGCTTTGAGTATATTGCTCATTAAGATTATAATTCCAAGACTTGACAAATTTCTTATATGCATGAATCTTTTTAAATAAATTCATAAACATAATATAATAAACATTTATCCATTGTGATTTATGATATTTTCATAAAAAAGTTACTTTGAGAAATTCTTTAACTATATTATTATTATTAAATAACATAACTATTTGAATTTGTTTTTATTACTTGCTTGAATTATCATATTATTATTTTAAATTATCATGTTAGTAAATTATTAATCATGCTAAACACATTTTCTTGATATATTTAATCATTAATTTTTTGGAATTCAATATATTACAATTAATTATAAACTGAATTGAGCTTTATTGATTACATTTAACAGATTATAAAATATTAGAAAATAAGTTCTTAATATTATTATAAAAAACTATAAATGATATTTTGTAATTTGATAATTTAGAGATTATTTAAATAAAATTATAAAATTATTATAATTTTGAATAAGTAATTTAATTTATAAAATTAAAAACTAGCATGTTATATAATAATTTTAAATAAAGTAATAATCTTAAACTTTAGTAAATAACTTAAAATATAATTCAAATCATAATTTAAAATCATGATTCAAGCTAGTAATTTTAGTTAATTTAGTAGTATAATTGGAATCTGTACAGATTTCAATTATATTACTTAGTATAGATTATAACTCATCCAAGAATGATATGTGTTTTGCTTTTTTTGACACACTCAAATAATATGTATTTTGCATTTGTCTCATCAAAGATGAAATAATTATAATCTATATATTAGGTAATCACTAAGATATGTATCAGTATGGCATGTATTTTATATTTTAAAATATTCTCAAATAATATATTGATTACAAAACTCAAAGTTATTTGAGTGATAGGTAAGTCACAAAATTCAAGTCATTTGAGTGATGGTTTAATTACAAAATCTAAGTTATTTAATTGATGAGTATATTATAAAACTCAAGTATCAAATTGTTATCTATTATATTACCTAAGAATAAGATATGTAATATTGAATTATTAACATATTTGATAATATATCAAAATATCTGATAATGAGACATATAGTATCAAATTATTATCTATTATATTATTCAAGAATGAGATACGCAGTACTGAATTATTAACATATCTGATAATATATTAAAACATTTAATAATGAGATATGTAGTGCTGAATTGTTATCTATTATATTATTTAAGAATGAGATATGCAATATCAAATTATTAACATATCTGATAATATACTAAAGTATCTGATAATAGGATACATAGACAAAAAAATATATATCTGATAATGCAACTAATTATATATTATCATTATGAGAACTAATACTATTAAATATATTATCAAATATATATACATAATTACTATTAATACATATATCATAAATATTATTAGAGAATATTATCAATATATATTATATAATTTCTATCAGAAATACTATCTAATTACTATTATATATACTATATATATGAATTTGATTATATTGTCAAGTCATGTTATTAGGTATATATTATCAAATATATATATAAAATATATTATGCAAATACTATTGGACTATATTATATATACGCTATCTGATTATAATATCAAATATATTACATAAATACTATTAAAAAGTATTATCTAGTTATGCTATCAAAAATACTATCAAAATATAATCACTTATATTTACTACTTTATAATATATATAGAATAGATCTGTTCACATTCTAATAAAAAATCTATTTCAGTTTTATTCTAGTAAAAAATATAATAATCATAAAATATTACTTGATTATACTATCAAGTAAGTTATATGCATACTATTAAATATGCTATCTGTCATTAAAAAATCTTTGATGATAACTTTAGTGATGGATTTATTATTAAATTTCAGTTTTAAATTCTTTTTTATCTTGTTTTTCTATATTGTTATCAAAGTTACTAAAAATAAAATAAAATTCTAAAAAAAAATAAAACTTTATCCTATGATATATTTAATACATATTACCAATATATATAAGATTTATATATACTTATGATATACTCTATATATATAATATATATGCTATATATATGTGATATACCTATATATAAAAAGAAAAAAAAAGCTAAAGAAATTTGATTTTTTTTTGATAACTTTGATAACTTTGATAATTTTGATGATAGATATTTAAAAAGCTTTCTATAATCTCAAAATTATTAAATTTAATAAGAATTTTATTATCAAAAAATTTTCTTATCATCATTAAAAAATTTTTAGTGATAACTATATATACTAAGATAATGCATGTATATCCATTATATATTTTTTATAACCCTATTTTATACTATCTTTTTTAGCTTTTTCTACTAATAATGATTCCATCTTCAATATTTATCTGTATAAATATCATAATAATTATAATTAGAATAGGTCAACTTACCATATTCTTTACAAGATATGCATGATGAAGAATTCTAGTAAACTTTATATTCTTCAGGCTAATAATGATCTTGATTATAAACTTTTTCAGTTCTAAGAATATAGGAATAATAATAAAATACTATACATCAGGAAATTTTTTGGGGTGATTTGTATTGATTTTTATTATTAGTTATATATCGATATATATTGGAGTTATCAATGCATATTGAAATAGATATTTGATATATATTAATATATATCGGAGTCATCAATATATATTATTTAATAAAGTATATCATTAAATATCATTGTTTAACAAAGTATATTGTTAAATATCATTATTTTATGATATATATCATTAAATATCATTATTTTATGAT